TTGGAGGGCCGCCGAGCGATCTTCACGGAAACCAAATTGTGTGGAGTTTATGATGGGATCGAGAAGAGGTGTTAGACGAAGAAGTATCTTTTCGAATATTTTACCAAGGGTGGGTGGTAGGCTGATAGGACGGTGGTTAGATGGGAGCCGATGATCCTTGCCAGGTTTGGGGATCATGGTAACGCGAGCGATCTTTCAGATGGCGGGGGGATAGGACAGTCAAAGGCAGGAGTTGAGGATTAGGGTAATCAGATCTATTGAATTTGTTTTGTGGGTGAGTTGAAATGGGAGAACTCCATCGGGTCCGGCGATTTGTTGCAGTCTATCGTCTTAAGTATCTGTTTAACTTTTGCGTCGTTCGTCGTTCAGGTCTGTTGTTGGTCAGGTGGTAGAGGGATAGTTTCAAGGAAATTCCAAAGAACACTGTCTGGGATTGGGATGTTGGGGAGGGGGGAGGAAGCGTTCGGCCAGGGACTGGGCGAAGATATTGGTGATGGTTTTGGGGGGTAAAAGGTTAGGGTATTGTTCGTGGTTAGGATAGAGGAAATGGGAGTGGGATGGTTCCTGATTGCTTTTATGACTTTATGGATATTATTGGGACAGCTTTTGTCAGATAGTAGGTCGCCATACTTATGTCTCTCGTGATGTTTAAGTAGGTTGTGTATTGTTTTTTTGCGTTCTTTTTAGTTCTCGTTTGTCGTCGTTTCGTCTGTATTTGAAGTATCGTCGTTGAATTCGTCGTTTATATCGTATGATCGTAAGGATTTCGTCAGGGAGTGTGGGGTGTGTATTTCTGGAGTAGGATGTGGTTTTCCGATATGTTTGTTTTATTTGGTAGGTAAAGTGATCTATGGAGTTGTCCACGGATTGGGAGGTCAGGATATCTGAGGGAACGTGTATTTTCTTAGATAGTGTGTGTTTAAATTTTTTCAGTCGGTTTTTGGTATTAATGGGGGTTTGGGAAGCATGTAGTTGGAGGTTGAGCAGCTGGTGAAAAGTATTGGGAGGTGATCAGATAGGTCGTACAGGTCGTATTTTGGGTGGGGGATGGTTATTAGTATTTGGGAGGACTGGATAATATCCAGGATATCGTGGGGAATGTAACAAACAAGGGGGGGTAGGTTCAGTATGTACTTTTATTTGGATTTGGGGGTTTGTGTCTATGAAATGTTCTAGCCGTAAGCCGGTCCCGTTACTAGTCATGCAGCCCCATGTGGTCGATTTACTGTTGAGGTCGCCTGCGATAAGGAAGGGGTAAGGAAGGATTTTAAGGGTGTCTAGGTCGGAGTCGGGGATCGGTGTGTGTGGGGGCTTTGTAACAGGATATCAGAAGTATTTGAGATGTGGAGGAGCCAATAGCGACTGCAGTGCATTCTAGGACGGATGTTGGAGGGAGTTGGTAAGGGGTGTGGGGGATGGATCGTCGGATGAGCATTGCCGTACCACCTCCAGCGGATGAGGTTCGGTCGGTTCTTGTTGTGGTGTAGTTTGGGATGGAAAAGGATCTGTCGGGTGTCAACCACGTCTCTTGTGAGAGTAGTATCCCGATGGAGTAATCTTTAAGGAATTGGGCGAGGATGGTTTTTTCTGGTTTATGCCGCCTCGCGCGTTCCACGAGGATAGGGTTAAAATTTTGGGAGGGGGAGCCATTAGTTGAGGATTTCAACTAATTTGATTCCTGCTGTAATGAGTTTAGTTATGATCCTTTGGGCCTTTGAGGATTTCGAGGAGGGGTTTTAAGTTGAGGATTATCTTTTTCACTATGGGATTTGATTTAGAAGAAGGGAAAGGAGGTGTTTTATGTCTTGGGTAGTTGATTGAGTAGTTTGTTGTTGGGTTTGGCTTAGGTTGGTGGCAGAGGGGTAAGATTGGTTTTGGGGTCTTAGGTGGGGAAAGTTTTGGAGTGAGTTGGTTGGGGGTGGATGGCTTAATGATTTGGTCATCTGTGCGTGTCGTTGTTCTCTGGCTTTCACTGTGAAGGGGCATTGTGGGTCGTAGGCAGGGTGGTTTAGGAAGAAGTTGATGCATTTTGGGGTGAATGGTTTGTCAGATGTGTGGGAGGGACAGTCTTCAGTTGGATGGGAACCAGCGCAGAGGGCGCTAGTCGCTTGTCTCCTGCAATAGACCTTCGTATGGTACAGTCTTTGGCAATTTCTGCACTGGGGTATTCTGTCATATTGTAGAGATGACAAGTAGAGATTTGACGAGTGCAAGCTTTATGTTGCCTTGTTAAGTGTGTACTGGAACACAGTTATATGTGCACTGAGATTACAGACTAGCGCGCAGTACGGAGACTCCGTCTAGCGGTGCTATTGGTGAACTAACATACGACAATATGTTCTTTATGTTCTTCGAATAATTCCCCCTTAATTAAAACAATATTGGGAGTAATTATTCCATATTAATCGACAATTAGCTTTTCGCTTTCCTTGATAGTCACAAAAATATTAGAAAACGTTTTTACTCTTGAGAAAGCCAAGAAATGTTTTCCATGCGAAAATAGAGGATGGGGCTATTACAACCCTACTCTTTGCAATATTATTTAAATTTCCCAGAGGGTTTTCGGGAGGCAGGGCGCCAGCTTGCTGGGGTGCGAAAATTGGAAAATAACTACATAACTCTTTCAAATTTCAAACCTGATTTCTACAATTATTTCTTCAACGGCAGCAACGCGCCGGGTACCACTTAGTAACTTATATTAACTTATGGTGCAACAGAATGGCACATACTTTCCCGTATTTTTTTTCTGTTTCCTTTGCTGTCGGTTAGGTATTCGAACTTGTCACTTATTCTTGCCTACTGCCTACGTACTTCTACTCACTGACGCAGCCTCTTACGGAGTGAAAGTTGGCAAGGTTTGCAGTTACTCTAAAACTATACAAATAACATGCATTTCACATGCACGAAATAGTTGTAGAAACAATGCGTGAAAATCATCCTGATGTAGATAAGTTAATTTCTGCAGTAAAGAAAATATTCATGAAAGCTCCATAACGAGTGCAAAAATTGAGAGAAACGGTTCCTTCGATGCCATTACCTCCCTAAACCATTATTACATGTGGCTTAACGCCACAAACTATTACTGTACCAATTAAAAAGCTATAGAAGAGGTCAACGCAATAAATGAAGGCGTAAATGCCCCTTATCAAAACCGCCAAGTCACTATTTTCAAGTACCACATTGACCAGAAATCTCTCTTGTATAAAAAACAAATCAATTTTAAGTCATACGAGTATTTAACCCTCAATAGCTACGGGGGGGGGGGGGGATCCAACCCTAGCGATTATTTTCCCAATCTCCTTCCCTTGAGTTGCAAGGTGTCGGGTGATCCAGGAACCGTATCAGCCACTCTTCCGGAAGGGGTTGGTACTATCGACCTTGACCTTCTGCCCCTGCACGCCCTTTTCCTGCGAAGTGTAGCGTTGCCGGTGGCATCCGACCCGACCGAACTATTAATGCCACAGACTTTTACCAAAAACTTTCTTTCTTTTTCTCCTTTTTTGTCCAAAATAGCTACAAATAGACTACTTTCTAGTTCACGAGAAATTCTAGTGGTTTTGCTACGTCAAGAGGGCGACTCTGATCGTGAAGAAAATGTTTCAGAATCGGGGAATAAAATTCTCCCTGCCCTTCTACATAAACTTCATTTCCTTCTTTTATTTTGTGATTTACATACAAACGACAAGACTAGCATTTTGTTTTTAAGTACTTTGATGTGATTTTGGAAGTTACTAAGGTCTATAATTGTGTTTTACGTTTTGTATGAGAGTTTTGTCGAATTTTTACTAGTATTTTTAGTCATTCTAGGTAAATGAATAACATAGTCTAACGTTTTCAACATAATCTTGGTGCTTTTTATCTTAAATATTTTTATAGAATATATTCGGAAATAATCAGTGAGCAATAAGTGTATTTTGAGCATATATTTCTATTATAAAAAGTAAATAAATTTTTCAAAACCGTATGCTGGCCCGATTTTAAGTTTTTTTTTTTTTTGGTTTGTTTAGTGGGCTAAAAATATATATTATATATAATACTTTTTATAAATTCCTAGAATTCACCTCAAGTTTTTCTCCTTTGTAAGTTTTTTTTTTAATGTTATCAGCTGTATAATATTTTTCTAGTCTTACAACTTTACTTCAAAAATTTAATATCAGTGTTCACAATATTCCATCTAACTGACAATACTGATCTTCTTAAATAAATGAGAAATTATTACAATTAAATATGTTTATTATGTACATATTTCAATAAAAAACCTCATCAAAATTAGGTTGGCTCAGATCTGACCTGATTGTACTGTTTACTTGATCACAAACCACTTTTCCAATTGAGGGTTAAGGACATATTTTCACAAATTTTAGGTCATAAATGCTTGCACGTTTCAAATATTTTTAGCCTATAAACATCAGCCATACCTAGTCATAACACTCAAAAAGATAATATTTCCTGTTTATTATAGACTATAGATATAAATAAAACAATAAATTCTTTCAATCTTGCTCAAAACCTGAAGATTGCATTTTAATTAAAAGAATCTATTAATGTAATTTCAAAATATGTATAAATATTTGTGATCATAATTGAAAAACACTTTCGATATATGACTCGCTGAGAAAACTATCATTGAATTAGTTTGAACTGTTCAAATAACAATAAGGATTGTCACCTCCATGTTTAACTTATCTAATAACATTCAATAATAAATTACATAAATAACAAAATTGAAAATAATGTATATATATGCAGCACAATGAACTTAAAGCATTAATATTCACAAATATTTTCATATTTATAATAGCACCCAACTTTGTCCCCCAATAAAAGATCTGAAATCCTGCCTCCAAGTTTGATATATAACTAAAATCCCCTGGGATTTCCATTATTTAGTTAATACTCAATACCCTAACCTTTTTCTGAATCACATTCACAAACAAACAAATTTCATACAATAACTATTTAAAGGGCATTCATTTTTGATTGCATTGGAAACTGGCATTATCCACCACTACCATTGACCATAACCTGAAAAGAAAAAGAAAAGAAACAAAACAAAACAATGCTGTTACAATTAGCTTTATTTTCTCAACCATAGTTTCTGATATTTTCAGATATCATGACTCAACAACAGGAGATGTTGAACTTCCTGAAGATTGCTGTGAGGTAGGGTAAGCACAAGAAAGCTTAAAATATTCAAGTAATAAATAGCAATTAATAAGGTACACTGTGGTTTTTCATCCTACCAACTGTATATTTATGATACTATTTGAACACAAAAATTATGACAGCATTTGGTTTACATAACTTGTACAAGGCTGTTTAACCAGGGCTCTCTGCACAACACATCTAAATAATACAGCACATTAGTTACATTTTGAGTTGCTGCCAGCAAGTTGTAGGTTTAAATTCTGATGTCCTGCTTCTCTACATTTTCAAGGTACCAGGAAAGACATTTTATGTAGAACTTGGGTTGGTAGAAATAAAAATACCATCTTGAATGCAAAGCATGTACTATATTGCCACACTTTAAAAACAGAACTGTTGAAAACATTGTCATAAGGTCACTTGAATGTAAATCACAAAACATCAGACAGGTGTTTGATAAACAATGCAAAATATAACAATTCCTTATAAGATCAAGCACTATTGATTTTTAACTAATTGTAAATTCTCCATACTATTGAACAAAAGTCAATCAGCCAAGTAGTGACTTTCAAGGTGTACAAAAAAAATTAAAAGTTGAACATACTTGTATAATACACTAGGTTAAGGATGAGGAAGATAACAGCAAGTAAGGACTTTGTAATAATGAACAAATTTCACAGCGCCATGTATTTACTACACCCACAATGGGGCAATACATCTCCAAAACTGTACATCTTCAATTTCCCATTTCAGAATCATTAGGCAAAGGTTTGAGGTGAATGCTGAGTTTAAAAACATTTCCAAAAAAGCATTCTACCAGACCTAATATACTGCAATCACGAATTGACTTTATTGAGGGCTTGACTCTACCTTCAAAATCAATAAATTAAAAATCACTACATGCACTTAAAACACATTAATGATACTGATACATAACAAAAAAAAATAAAATAAAAAAAAAATAAGCTGGTGCATTTTGTAGCATAATATATACATTATTGGAAGCATTTGCTTCAACATATTTTCCAAGAATGGATTTATTTGTATCCAAAAACACAGTCCAAGACAATTTTCATAAAGAATAATTTATTCTAGGCATTTAATGTTGATTCAATTGGAGGCAAAAACAATCTTAATGAATATATGAATTGTGAAATGAAATATGAAAATATGGAAGTAGATTATGGATCACTAAAAACACTACAAATGCAATTTAATGTACTACCTTTTTCAAACATTGTGGAACCAATTCATATCAAATGACTTAAATTGAATAATGAAATTAATACACAGTTCAACAACTTTTAGTGACTAGAAACCTTACTCTTGTCACAAAATTATTTTATATTATGGATGCAGTGTATTTTTTATATTTTTATGAATTGGCACTGACACAAATTAGGGAGTACAATTGGAGGACCCGAGTTCTTTAGGACTATTTAGGAGGAAGTTTATTTGTACAGTTACACAATTGAAATCTACAACAATACACAAAACAGTCGAGTGCAGCAACTTAAATCATTCCGTTCTTTTTATTTCATTTCAATAAGCAAGACTTATTTGCTTCCTTCTTTCATCATAATGACAAATTGAGATTATACACAGATTTGCAGTAATATCTCCAAACATTTTTTAGACAAAAATTAATAAAAATTACCAAGAGGTACCTTGCAGTTGTCAAGATCTTCAAAGAACAAATTAAACATCCAGAATTTGATTTCCATTAAGTACTTCAACTGATAATAAAGTTAATTTAAAATATTTTGTTGTGAGAGCCAAAACTGGACATACTTTTAGCAAATAAGATAACTTTAGTCTGCTTGATGGAGAGTATATTTTCAGTAAAGTGAATTTATTCTCATGGAACAAGAAGCAGACAATTAGGAGGGGGGAAAAAATTCTTAAATTTGATCAATATGAAGCCCTTTTCTAAAATGCTTTGCATAGGCTGACTGCAATACAAAATATTTGTATTCTATGATAAGCTTAAAATAATCACATTAAAGTACTCAATCACAGTTTTAACACTTCAGAAACCTACTCCAATTGGTTAAAATTTTGCACATCTGTTTTCAGTTCACTTGGCCAACATGTCTCGAGTTGAATTAAATAATTGTCTTTAAGATATTTAAGTTATGCAAGAGTATTTTGACAGAATGGAAATTTAATTCTTTATTGACCTATTGAATACACTATTGCCCTGTGAACATTTAGAGATTCCTAAATAGATATTCTGGTTAACAGCACTCCCAATTCAAATCTAACATACATCGTATTTCCCAGTTAACTGAAAATTTGTAGTGATACTTTCCATATTCAAAAGGCTAATGAACAGGCACAAAAAATGAGAAATTTAACAAAAATTTTGTATTATTAAACTTCACAACTGTATTTTCTATCTCCCTAATCAAAATAACAAAAAAAAGTTAACAACAGGTACAAGACATGAGCCATGAATAAAGTCATAGTTGGATAAGAACTTTGAGAAGTAGTAAATAATACCAGAATGCAATATTTTCTAAACAACACTGCACGGCTCTTCTAAACTTATTGCTCCACTGTATAGTAGGACTTCAGCAATTTCAACAATAAACTTATAGGAATCCATTTAAACTGAATTACATAGTACATGTCAAAGTGACTTAATTGGTGTGCTTCACTTACAAAAAAAATTAAAAATGAAGTTCACCAGGAGTAAACTTTCTCTTTCAAACAGCATTAGTCAACACACTGCTCTGAGCATGAAGAAGAAGAAAAAAAAGGAGATCATTAATTACAGACTAAATTAAGTCTATCATTTAACAAATGTAATAACACGAACACAAATTATCTTCCTGAAAGCCAACTATTGCCAATTGTATGGCTCATGACCGTCCATGTTGGTGAAACGTATTACAATGAACACAAGAACACCACTGCCGGAAAATTTGTTTTCTTCTACATCACAAACTTCCACGGAGAACGAGTTTCATGTACTTCCACAAACAAGATAGATGTTAAAACTCAAAATGCAACAAAAGAAACTGATGGGCTCTCATTTTTTAAATGTTCTCATCAGTTAGCCATAGTTCAAATAGTACACAACATCTAAAGCTTCTTTCCGCCGCACAAATGTCTTTATCTGAACACACATCGTTAATTCAACACACAACACACTGAATAAGGGAGACGATTTTGGGAAACAGGACAATTTGAGGAGGAGAAGGGTTCACAATGATGCCACAGACACACAATCTGCCTCCTCCATCTCTGAACACAATTTTCTTCATTAGGTGAAGTTCCTCCCAGCTCTGATAATTGCAATTATTCACAAGTGTCCACTATCGTTGCATGGGAATAATTATCGAGAGGCTTGTGCACATTCATCCACACACACACATTCGTTCGGTCATTCATCCATCTACTGCACACAGTGTCATTTTGACGTGGCCTACCAACACTTCTGAATCTATTATAATTTGGCTTTGGTCAATTTCGCAGCCAACTCCCTCGATTCCGAGTTCTGTTGATCACTCCAGCCACTTCTCTTCAGCCTGCTAGCGACTACAGGACTTGTCCTACTTAGTCACAATCCAGCACCACTTGCACCACACTGCCTTCAGCTCTGCTTCACTCGCTTGCGGGGGGGTCCAATAGGGGGAATCTGTTGTGTTGCAAGGGCACGAAAGGCCTCAGCAATTAGATGAGGATGAGACATTATCATTGATTTCCACCCTGATGTGTCCATGACATCTGTTGCATGCCTGAAATATGAAGATAACATAAAACAAATGTACACAAGGTAATTTAATTGTTTTTATTTGCTAATTTTTTTTTTGACAATTTTTTTTAAACATGTGGATTACATATACTCAAATCCATTGAAGATAAAATCAAATAAAGAGAAAAAACTTTAATTCATAATTTTGTTTGCAGACAATTTAAATGCTCAATGCGATGTGGAAAAAATTGTGTCTTCATCATTTTGGAAATACATTTTACATCTCTGCCCTTTTGTCAATAACGGACTTTTGACTGAAAATCTGTAATCAGCAATAAGCCTATCATAATTAAATGCTTGTTGCATTAAAAATAATTAATTAATAAGAGTATACTAACGTATTAATGAAGTCAATGGCTTGTGCTTTCAGTTGATCAGCACTGTGAAGATCTGCTAGTATTAAAATTTCTGCTGCATTTTCTATAGACAAATTGGTGCATAATGCCTCTTCGCACATCACCTTTAGCCTCTCAAGTGCATACTGAAACAAATTACATAAAGAAATTTAATACATTACGTTATTAACAGCTGTAAGATAAATGCCAAATTTTAGAAAAGAGAAAAAGAATGCTTAGAAAAGCAGAACCTTGATCGAAAAAGATCAAGACATTACAGAATTCAGTATCAGAACATACTCCTAACTCTTTTTATCAATAACTTGAACCGTCATTAATTGCTAGATAGCACACAAGTATTAATCATGTGTAAAAAAAAACTAAATGAAAAATTGCAATAGAATTCTGTCAAAAGAAGAAGATCTATTAAATTTTTTTGCCATCTTATATTTAATTTTATCTTAATTATGAAAAAATTGTACTATTGGAATTTAAGTACATTAAAACTGACCAGTATACGGCAAAGTACATTGAATAAATTTCCCACTAGCCCATATTCAGGACATGAATTCATTATCTATAATGTTTAATTTTGTGATGTTACAGGTGTTTGTAAGAGTATACTGAATAGATATAATTTATGTAAGAACATCAAAGCATTCCAGTTTTGTACACGAGTGTTTTCATAATGTTAGTTTCAGTTATTTAAAAATTCCAATTACAAGATTTTGTAACAACTAGTAATAGAAAATTTAACTAACCTTGTCTGCAGCTGCTAGGAGGTCATCCGCCATCTTCTCCAAGTTGGCTGCTTTACCCGTGTAAATGAAACGAAGCATTTCACGTAAAACTTCATGATCCACATCTGCAATTTCCACTCTGTTGAATTTACGCTCTTCCATTTCATGTTCAAACATTGCAGCAAATACAGGACTCCTAGCTACAAAATACAATATAAATAAAATGATAAGTATGCACTAATATTATATTTCATTCTTTTTTTTACGTAGTAAATTAAAAGGTATATAGATAAATGAAATCAAACGGAAACAGAGTGAAAGGCAAACATATTAGTTCAAGAAGTAGAAAATAATGAAAAAACAAAAATCCTTACCAGCTAGAATTGCTTTATGAGCTTGGAATTCTCTACCACTAACAGAAAGTGTAACATCACTGAATTTTTGGTTTTCAAACAGCATTCCTAGATCATCAGATAATCTACATTCCGGTACTTTAAACTGCACAGCATTTGACTGTCCCGAAATATTAACACTGTCTGCAACGACACTCACCTGGGAAAAAAATAAAGTCAGTTATTATACATCAAAAAAATGTATTGTTCATTGAAAAATATCTAGAATAAAAAATCTTTTAAAAAACACGAAAAGAATTATGAAATGAAACTAACTTCACAAAATATTGTCAACTTGTCATCAGGCAACAATCCATTAGCCTCATCTAGAAGGAAATCTCTGCGTATAAATTTCTTGAACCCCCAGTCTTTGCCTTGCACAAACCGGTAAGCCCTCTGGCTCTCTGTAAAATAAAGAACAAATCATGAAATATATCAAGCTTCAGAACTGATCTTTGATAAATGACAGTTCAAAATGGACATTTTAAAAATTTAATTTTGAGAACATTTTGATTGTTTTCTTTTTCATGCAAGATTTCATGCATTCATGTAATTTCATTTTTTGATAATTCACAGTACTTTCATTCATTCTCCATATGATCAATATTCTGCAATTTTTAAGGTATTTAATTTCAAGATAAGTAGTAATAAATGGGAAGAACTTCAACTTCATTCTTTGGAGAACCCTTTTTTGATACCACTCAAATGAGGCACATTTTTGAAACTTAAGATTTTAGAATATAACTAATATGAATTGTGACATTTCATAACATCAATGAAAAAAACCCAACAACAACAACAACAACTACTGACTATGAAGGAACCTTGGCAAATAGACTTTATGAACTTTTACTGTAATAAGGGTATTGAATGTATATAATTTAAATGCCACTATTCCCTTTCTATTTATTGGAACAATTAAGCAGCAAATTAAGGCACCCAACAAACTGAAGTGTAAGTTGCCTCTATACTTCTGTAGAATAGAGCATGTGGGTTCAAACCAGAACAGCCATGCTGGATTCTCCGTGAGGATAACTAACACTTAGAATAATAGTGTTCTTTTATGCCATTACCCATGGTCCATTTAGTATATTTGATTCAACAGAAGTTTCATCCAAAGATATGAACATAACAAGTAAGTTAATAGCCCAGTTAATACTATCTCTACAAGTTTGCATTTGGAATACGAAAAATAAAGTCAGGACAGAATTCCTTCTAACTAGATATAATGCAAGAAATTAGGAAATATACATTTTAAAATATGTAAGGGTTGGAGTGTTGGGAGTGTTGTACTGTTGCAGTGAAATAATAGTTTTTATGAAGACAATGTATAAACAATGCACGAGTATGTGTAAATGTATTACCGACACCAGTTCAATAAGCTGCTAAAGAATTCTATGGTGATAATTGATTGCACATTTCAATTCCACTCATTACTTTGCATTCCCACCACAACACGTGAATTTAGCAAAAACAAAATTAATTAGAATAAGGTTTTATTGAACACTGTTATATAAGAGTTATCATGTTTATTAATTATCGAATGAAAGATGAAAGGTGTCCCAATACTCACCCATTGCTTTGGTTTCTTCTCGTTTGGCATTAAGAATGGAAAATTTAAATTTTGCTCGTACTTCTGATTTATTGCACGAGACTAGTAAAAGATATAATGAGAGGTAGTCTTTACTTTCTTCATCTAATCCCTTTGGATTTACCCGTAGGCACCTGAAATGTTTAAAAATCAAAGTAACATGTGTCTCAAAATTCAAACTAGTATGCAAACAATTTCATAAGAAAATAAAATTACCATTTTAGCTTGTCATTAGCACCAGCAGAAAATGTGGAGGACTTTAACACCTCACCCATTTCTTCTCGACAAAAGCTGAAGTTGTTAATTGTCCACATATAACTAAATTTTACAACTTTCACCTGAAAAAAAAAAAAGTAAATAAAAAAATTAATTTATCTGAAAAAAAGAAAACCTGACAGCAATCCTGTATTGCGACATTTGCACTTGCTAAATTCTGTCTAATTAACTAGAATATTTATTGTATCAAAATTTTCTGCTCTGAAGAATCTTTCAATAAGGATTGAAAATGGATAGATGAAATACATTTTGGCAGTACTCAATATAGAGTAAAAATGGTAAAATCGGGCCAAGTTTAGTCCTACCAGTAGAATATTGTCCCAAACAAAATATATGATGAATAGTTAGGTACAAAGTTGAAGTGGAGTTATTCAAATACTTCCTCAAATGTTAAATTGAGGATACAATTGACCAAATATTATAGTACATGGTAATTCCTTTTACAAAAGGGCAAAGCAGTTATCATGGAATTAATATTTACTCCCTCTGTCAACTTAATTTCCTGACTACTTACAAGAAGATAAAGTCATAAGAACATTATAACTAAATGAAAATGAATTGTTGAAAATTTTCTACTGTAGCTAAGCTTAATAACTAGAGTATGCAACTGTACTTTTTTAAAATTTTATGTAATAACTTTATTGTCTCCATAACATAAAATAAAATAAAAAACCTTATATGCACGAGTGTAGAATACGCAGAAAAGTTTGTGTACGTCTAAAAAAGCAAAATAATGTAGTTTTATCCCCAACAAAATTATGTCCTTTAGTGGATTTTGGGAGGGGTTATAACACCCTGGACCAAAGTAGTTTTAAGGGCACTATCATTACGCAAATTATACAAAAGAACATCTTGAACAATACTATAAGTCATTAATTTCAACATGGAACAAGACTAAGAACACAAGGAGGGGCTTCACAACATTATCACATTCTCGAAAGTACAATCTACATGGGAGTAAAGGGGAAACATGGCAAGAGACCATAACGTGCAAGAGTATTTTCTCACAAGATGAGAAAGTTACTGCACATTTGTTGAAAACAGCACAGTTTGGTTTCCTTGTTGGTGAAGAGGTTCTAGGAATTTGTGTTGTCTCTCTAGTTTGTACTGTAAACCGTTTTATTTTTTTATCCTTTCAGACAGCACAGTATGGTTTCACAAAACCTACTTTCGTAATACCACTTTTGTAATATTTTGGTATAAAAACAGTTAATGACACTATTTTTCCTGTTTCATTTATTCTTTCTCTAACCTACCACATGTCAAAATTAGGATACACATTGCCTCAAACTGGTTTATATTTATGGTACTATGAAAATAGTTGGATGGACTAAAGTTACCCATTTGAGAATAACATTAGCCTGAATAAAAAATGAACTAGTAGCAATATTTAAAATGTTTCATAATTCTACATACTTAAGTACTGCATTTCTTAATACTTCATAATCTATATGTATGAAAATAACCAATACAGATTTTCCTTTATCAGTATGTATTAAGAAGAACTACTAGCTCTCAATACTAAAGAACTGCCCCCTTTCTTAATTTTTCCTAATAATTCATTTAAGTTCATTAAATGTCTGAAGGAGGCACTAAGTCCTTCAGCTTTTGTCTTCTACTAATTCATTAGGAAAACATCCTAATGTACATGTATTAACTCTTTTGGCTGATGTATTGAGTATTTCATCACATTTTAGAATGTAGTCATTTCTACCAATGGAAGATAAAATCTAGCCTGAGCTTTGAGGAAGAGCTGAGAAATCTTTGCTTAGATTAACTCTGAAGAGCTCAGACAAGTCAATTTACCTTTGGCAAACACTTTCGTATTATGGTTGCACTGCCCAGCAGGACAAGTATGATTTATGAAGTTTAAAGCCCCTGCTTGCATTACTCGTTTTGAAAGACATGCAATCGTTTACCATTTTCTTGTATATCCTTCGAAGTTTGTTATCTGTCAAGCTCAAGGTACTCGCTAGTGCAGCTATGGTGACTATTTTTCCACAATTTGTGCCAGTTGAAGGACAAATGGAAAATGTAGTCCCTGGCCTAAGCAAGCAGAAAGTGTACACCAATGGATGAGGTTTTTTTAATGACATCCACATGCGAAGATAAACATGCAGGTGCTAAGGAATTCACGGCTTTAATTAAAATCTATGTTTCCATTATTGTGGATGTATCATGTATTGCCTGGCCCTGAAAATTTCAAGCCTTCACGATAATTTTCAATTTTTTAAAATTATGTAATTTTTACACAACTACACTTTCTGGCTTCTAAAGCAAGTAAAACTGGTGGGGAATTAGGGGTGTGCGTGATTAAGTTATTTAAACGCTAGTATTTCTGTAGCTTTTTGAGTGAAATGACCATTTTTTAAAAAGATTAGTGAACTGTAAAGGCAGTTAGGGTGCCGAGTGAATTAAAATTCTGAAATTTTATCACAGCTATTAATGACTGCTACTCATGATTAAAATTATTTAATTTAAAGAGGCATTGTTTTCAGTTCAATAATTTGAAATGTATTAAACAATATTAATTGCAAACATGAACATGTAATCATATGTCATTTTTTCTTATATTTTTTAAAAACTTAATGCATACATGCATAATTTCTTTTTCTTGATGCAATAAATTCCTTTACATCTACATAATGTATTACGGAATAATAGCGAGTCTCAAAACTATTTCTCAGAGTGAAATTAGCAGAACAATTATTGATTATGAATACTGTAATAGAAAGTAAATAAAATAAACAAGATTACGATTTACACAGAATAAGATTTGTACAGATAAAGAATGAGCAAAATAGTGAAAAAAAATGCATTAAACATTTTAGTGACAAAACAAGATTTAATCATGTAGGTACAAAAATAAACTGAACATTATTGTGTTTCTGTGAAGTCCTTTAATTTTTTTTTATTTATATTTTTTTTTTATTATTTTTCTTTTTATTTTTTTTTTTATTATTATTTTTTTTTTTTTGGATAATGAAGTAGTGAGCTTAAATCAGTTTTGAATGTCCACCTGTGAAACTGCCCCCTTTACTCTCTTAATATTGCTTTGTACTGAATAAAATGTTGCTCAACACCAAAGGAAGTAATGGAGTTTAACCTTCCAGAGTTCAATCCAGATATACTGTTAAACTCCATTCATGACAGTAAACGACACAAATAGCCAAGAATAATTTTGAAGGACTATAATATGGAACACATTGAAAGCACTTTGTTGGCATTTCTGAAGAAATTAGCATTTTCCTTAAATAAAGGATCCATAACCAACCAGAACCATATCTGGAAACACAGAGGTTTTAAATTATTTTGAAAAAGCCAAATTTTTAAAATATGGCAAAAGTTTGATTATAACTAATGAACAAACAAATGTGAAATTTAATACTAATCTAGCCCAAAAAATACAGAATATTTTATGAAGAGTTTTTTGTAATTAGTTTCTTTACAATCACAATAAAGCAACTGATATTTTTAAATTTGAATTTTCATGAGAAGTTTCAAATACAGACACTTTCTCCAGACAGACACCAAAAACATCAAAGATGTTTACATGGGTCATCATCTCCACAGATGGGCATGGTTTGCTTGCAGCTCTATTGGGCTTTCTTCATACTCAAATTCTTCTATGGAAATCACATTAAATTTCGACTAGTGAGCGAAGTTTAGTCTTTTTCACAAGTCATCTTTATCTGTGTGTTCATTAGCAACCACCGTTCGCATTACTTATAAAGGGCTTTCTTAAGGACTTTCTTAGAGTAATGATTGGGCAAAGTGGGCAGGAGAGACTGAGAAGGGCTCCAAATTTGATTTCCCAAAATGTCTAGAATAAATGAAAAATTTATAATTTAGAAGAAGCAACTGGCAGCATTGGTTTTAGAAAAGGCTTTGTAGTACACCATAAGATACAGCAATTGTAATGCAATTATTGTTGATTGGAGTAATCAAAATATAACATTAACTTTTGTGCATTTCCACATCTTTCCCCTTCCCATTCACCAATGTGCGTACCAATTACACAGTTGCACGCTACTTTACAGCATACAATATTGGAAAGCCGTTAAAACTATCCTGGTTCGTAATAAAATTTTGGTTGCAGTTGAAATGTAATCTTAATTTTCAGTATGAAATATACAAGTTTTAAAAATGTTCTTGATGTTTTTTATGGTATCCACATTAGAAGTATCTCTCACAGGCCTAGGTTGCGTAACCCCTGCACTGAACACTGCCAGCGAGTACCTACATGGTGCCACTCCTCAACAAGCATCCATACAAGCCCTTAACCCTCAAGTCAATCAAGAATGATTCAACAGTACATACTCTCTCGCACAAACTGTTACTTGCAATTTTTCAAAATTCAGAGAGTTGAAAAAACTGAGACCTGTACCATTTTGTTTCACCAATGAAAAATTGTCAAGAAAAAAAACTGAGCAGTTTCTGAAAAATGTTAAATAATTACCTACATTTTCATAAAACTACAGTTTTTGAAAAATTCCATATTAACTTGTTTATAGATCTTTGAAGAGCCAATTTCATTAATGAAAAGAAAAAAAAAAAAAAAAAAAAAAAAAAAAAAAAAAAAAAAAATCTATCTTCAATATTGTGATTACAGGAAGATGCACAAACATTTGTTACAATTGTAAAGCTTGACAATTCAGAAAGTTTAACCAAAATGCGACATGCATTACTTTTTAAATCGATTTTGAAAATGTAGTTTCTTCATGTAAAGTATCCACAAACCTAGAAATATCCGTTCCAAACTCTCAGGGCCTTTCAACCAGATCGATCGGGAAGTATCAATTTTGGAGGAAATCGTCTATAGGTGCTGGCGTTGACCATGAACGGACAGAGAATTTACTGTCCGTTCTGTTGAAAAATCTCTTTTTTCCCCAGCATTACAATACTTTCTCTATAATACGTAGCATAACGCGGAAAATAAAATTCGGAAATTGAAGAAAACTTGACATATTTTTATTAAACAAAATAAAAAAATAAAATAAAAAAATCATTTTCGTCTAGGAAGAAATTTGAGCTTGGTTTCAAACGGAATTTCTTGATCTTCGCTATTAACTGAAGGTGGTGGGCTCTATTTCTGTTATTTGTTTTTTATTACTTCATTCTACAGTAAAAATATTCGTTTTTAATATAACCGACATATCTGCCGTCATTTTTTCATTTCGTCATTTTCAAGACGAAAGACCAACTACAATACAATTGTATTTGGACTTTTGTTTTGCAAATTGCAGTTGATCTATCGAAAGAAGTGACATTTTACATCATGGAAGGATACAGTTCCATCACTAGACTACTGCAGTGAGCTCTGATGTAGTTATAATGTGAAGACCACTGAGCTATTGTTAGCGAAGCAAATATAGAGTTTTTAAGTGCGAATATTGAGTGATTTTAAATGCAAATATTAGCGAGTATACAAACGAAATTTCCAGCAATTGTTTGGTAAAAGTTTCTCATAGGCAAAAAAGATGTATATGATGCATTTCGTTTTTAAGTTTAGGTGGAAAATGGAATATTCTATAAAAAACTTCACTACAAAACTTTTAGATCTTTGTAAATATAAAACATTTCACTTACATTTTCAGAAACATGTTTAAATCTATTCACAATGAATAGTGACTGTACTGTTCAAGAATTTGAGGTTTGGAGAATAAGAACCTTTTTTAGGCTTTCGAATTCCCGTGATCTGTAGTACTTTCAGCCTCCTTTCCTGCGATGTAAACGCAAGAGTGCAGCTACGTTTGTTTAAATTCCTACACCAGCCATCTGCTATCTAATCATTTCATAGGAAAAAATAAATTAAAAAGTCAATTAGTATAGAATGCCTTTAGTAGGCCGACATATCCATATATTTTAACACTTTTTTCTGAACTACTTTAATCGAAGACCGTTTCACTACAATACACTTATTGTCTAGTATCACACAAAAGTTTATCACAAGAAAGCACTGTTAGATCTGTTGTTCCAAATAAGCCGTAATATTTACTAATTATAATTGCATTAAAGTTTTCGCTCTAAGCTAAAAGGAACACTCACTGTAAGCCCACGATAGTATTAATTGGCGATCTTTGACCAAATTACTCGAAGAAGTACCCCCAGAGTATCAATATATTTTTGGCTGTATATGACAATCATCGGCATTGTCACGTGAGCTTTCAAGAATTAGAATAACCTACGATGACGAACGTAATGACACGCAGTATTCATGCAACTTTTGCACTTGATAATCACATTTATGTATTTACGTTTGTGAAGACATCAGAGAAATTTGTATTCATTGATTGTCAAGTTGCATTTCAAACAGCACATTTGGGTGATACTGTGGACACAGTATATCCTTTAGCCGAACACCCTTTTTCAATCATTCAATTGAGAAAGTTAATTTAATTTATAGCAAGAAAAGAAGGAACCACTCACACCATCAAAGACGAAGTTTCATACCGAGCAGTGGGGAGTTCATCCACTACATATCCAGAAGGGTTTAGGGTTTAGAACCGAGTATGGGACACTGACCTGTGTGTAGCACCAGTTCTCGGCGACAGGTGTGTTCACCTCCGGTGGCGGTGGGCTAGGCACACGCGACACCGCCATGGCGCCGCTATTGTGGTTTGAACTCACGCGGGGCGTCTGCGGCGCGCAGTCACTCACAACCGGCAACCTGAAACAACACACATTCATCAAATTGCTATTCGGGTAATCTTAGACGAAAATGCTTAATGAATCTAATCAGCACAAAAAGCGTAATCATAAACACTCAAATACACATACTTCATTCTACAAATTTTAACATCCGTTTTAGAATAAACCTTGTAATGTGAACCTAATTTCCATTAGCAAACAATTTTTTCCCAAAAAAGTCGATTTTTTGTATACTTAGGCGAATTTGAGAAACCTTCCAGATTAAAAAAAGAAATTGCACTCTTAATGAAAATGCGGAAGGAGAGTCCAATGGCAATAAGAAAGAAATTAACTCCCGTTAACAACTTATTAAATATCATCGATTCAACAAGAAGGCAAGAACACTATAGAATAAGAAGTTCATTCTAAATGATGCTCGGTTAGTTCATTAATGGAAAAGAGGTTTTTTTACCTTCAATAAAAGCTGAAATAAGCTCAACAAAATATTTATTTCCCATAACTTCATGAGAAACAGTTATGTTACCTATGAAGACTGGCGAATTAAGTTAATAGGCTGGACATTGCTTACTTAACTCCAGAAAGTTATTAGATTTCCAGAAGATCACGAACTAAACGGACATCACGACTGACAACAAGGCAAAATGTTTCACTGTATACAGGATTAGCGCTATGCATTCAAATGACTAACACAACAATGTCGAATAAAAACAACGACGAAATTTTTAATGAACAAACTTTCGAAGAAACCAGTGTTTTGTTCTTTATGACAAAGTGACAGATCTTCAACGACTTCTCGTCTCTGCACATGAAAATTTTATCCAACAATTCCAATGTTCAAGCAGAATTAAAACCATTTTCTTCCTGCAATTATATCTATATTTCCTTGCCATATTTCTTTTTACATTTTCAATCCGTTACTGGAATAGGATGTAAACCCGGAAGTAGCAATTTCGAGAACAATGCAATTTGCTACAATCTCATATCTCCAGTCTTCATTCATATAAACCACGATTTATGAAAGTATCGAGGTTGATTCACAACAGATTCAGGCAGTCCAGATGCACATTAGGTTTCTACAATTAAAGTGTTGAGTTTTTCTCAGACATTTTTATATCGAAATGCATTCACGATTTCTTTTACATCAAAATCCAAATGCCTAAAATTATTAGGATCTGTAAATAACGTGGTACTATTTACATGTATTTAATTTATTTCAGAAGATGCGAAATGCAATGCGATGGTTCCCTTACAGATGAAATTTTTGCAGTGTAAACACTTTCTGGAACTAATTTTCCTATACTTTCCCCGTTTTTTTCAGTGCATATTTTAAAATTATCCCGTGATAATATATGTCTAGTGTTTCTTGCCATTTTAACATTCAATAAAAGCAATGCTGGGATACACGTTACTGCTATGAAACATTTAATAATATTTGCAGAACAAACACATTGTATAAAAAAGATTAACACTTGACATATTATCTAGTTATTGACTAAAAAATGTGACTTGCCTCGAAAAACGCAGATTGATTTCATTTGGTTTGTATTATGGAGAGAATTCTTTCAACAGAGGTCCTCAAACTGAGCCAGAGAGATCGGACCGTACCCATTTCTGAAGATGGGTTAAATAGTTAGTATTGGGACCTTAAGGGACAAAAAATTCAGCTTTTTGACCTTTTAACTATTTTCTACACGCAGGATTTATCAGCATCTTATGCGTGTGTATTATTCCCACACCACTTCCGAACACGGTCAATTCCTTGTGTGTCATATTACAATATTCTTGAAGAGAATCTCTACTGTTCACTAATGCATCTTACATTCATATTTTATTCATTCGTTAATGTGTACATTCCTAATATCAAAATTAGAATAACCAAATCACGGTTAGGCGCTATTACCGTTTCCATTAAATTTCCTCGAAAAGTTCAAACAACCGAAGAGACTGAGAATCACAAGGTTTTGATTTTAAACATGTTTTAACAGTCAACAGTTCTTGCAAAGGAAATACTTGTTCTTTATTACCGTAAACGCACCCACACGACTTTTCTTCAGGCCAAGTTAGGAGCAGAAGCAGGACCGCGCAGCTGCGCCGTGCGGCGAGGCGCGACGCAACCCGGCACGCGTAGGGGACGCGATCCGTGATGAAGTAGGGGAAAAGCGAAGGAGGGAGGGGTGGTGAAAAGGGAGGGAGGAGGGGGAGAGGCGGGCGGTCGACCGGCGCGCGGCGGTTGTGGGTTCAGGGTCAACAGCGGGGAAGGGCCGTCCCAAGGTGGCGGTGGTGGAGGCGATGGTGATTGTGAGTGATGGCGGCAGGAGGTACCATCTGCCGCAGCCTGCGCTCCAACCGAGGACCCGGCGGGCGCGGCGCCGCACTGCACTGCCATCGATCGGCAGCGAGGAGCGGTAGGCTGGCAGGCAGGCAGCCCGCGGGCGATAGCCCTCTCTCGCTCTCCACATTTACCCGGCAGCCCAGCGCCCATGAAGCCCTGGCCCTGCTCCGAACGGCGCGCCTTGCCACCCAAAGATCCGACCGCTCTTACGATCAACACTGTGTCACCCAAAGTTTGACTACAGCAGTAGCGTAGCCTCACCTTTGTGGTCACAAAAAATAGAAATTGAGAATGACATGTTTTAAAAGCGCTGCCCCTCCCCCGAAAGAGCTCCAGTTGAAGTGTTCCCGATAACTTTCATTTCTCTGCACAAATTGCTTTGAGGATGTACCACTGAGAAATCACTCTGATACTGTTATACTAATTATTAGAAAAGAGAGAAACATAAGGTGCGAAGTTTAAAAGAAAATGTATTTCAAGAGTCGATGGAGCTTTAAATCGTGCATTAACGTACTTAGCAATTTCTCGAGCATAAAAAATTAAATATTTTAAATTACTCGTTACTGTACACAATTTTAACATCGTGTACAGTAACACATTTTTGAAATCTCTTATTTCGTTTTCGTATATAAAAACAGCCGATAAGAAAGTACATTACCCACAAAATGTGATTAAAAGTTTGAACACATTAGCATAATGTTCCACACAGAGCTACCATATAACGTACCGTTTTTTTAGAGCGTTTCATTACTACCCAGCAGAGCGGTCAATAATGCGAATGCCTGAAAGGACCCTGAACTTGGTATTAATAGCAAGCCTCGTTACTGGCTGGGCAGATACAAGTTAATAATAACTGGCGGAAGAGAGGCGCTCGGCGCCTGCATATCCGCGATGACTGGAGCGAATGCAGCAGCGAGGCCTTCCGTGGTAGGTGGCGTTGGCGGCGCGGCCTCTCCTCGTGGCGAGCCGCCGCCGCCGCCGCCGCCGCCGCCGCCGCCGCGTGCGCCAGGGCGACGACCCGGGCGTTCCCCTCCCCCGCGCGCGCGCGACTGCCACCGTCGGGCCATTTTCCCTTTCCACGCTGCAATCACGTCTGCACCGGGGCGCGCCCGCACTGCGCCGTCCCGCCTCGCCTCGCCTCGCCTCGCCACGCCACGCCACGCCACGCCACGCCACGCCTTTCGACACTGCGCTGTCAACACTTGCTCTGTTCGCAACGTAGTAAGGGTCGCTTCCGAAAAAAAAATAATTTTTTTTTGATTCACCATGAATCCAGTGGGCAGAAGGTGGCGTGATCTGCGAGTGCCAGGAACAACAGATTCACAAAGTTTCACTTCTCACGGAAGGAGTTTTGAATTCCCCAACCCCCCACACACAGTTAACGGGGATCCAGTGAAAGCTTTTATGTAACATCGAAATTAAAGAAAAGTATTACGGTAAATCATTAGGTACTTCACTTCATTGGGGTCACTAGGTTTTCACAAACCTTAAGATCGCAAAGCAGAGGGTGGTTCTACGAGGGACGGGTAGGACGAAGCATCTATAAATGTCCTTATTTATATTCATAATTTCCAATTCGCGGAGAAATCTAAAGATATCTTTGCAGCCTCCTGCCATATGGGAGACGTCTATGGTTTCTCCTCTACCCAGATACTCGGGAACGGGGTGCGGATTCAAAAACAATAGAAGTTTTGGTTGATTTTGACCGAAAAATGTAAGTATTTGATATTTATTTCGCATATTCTCATACGGCACGTACAGAATGAATTCTCACACAGTGCGTTATTTATTGCGTCAATTGACGTCATATGACAGCAAGGTTCCCAAGCAAGATGATATCCGTCATTAAATACTTTTTAGATTGTGCATTATGGGACAGCAACTTATTAGATATCCTTGGTATGTAACGAACCGCAATTTCGCATTACGGCAACCACATTTCAAGTAAAAATAGCCACACTAATGATTTTTAACAAAAACGTGCATCAGGCGAAAGAATATTTTAGTCACACGTACTGATTCTTGATTAGAAATTAAGGCCAGTCAAAAACATAAGCAGTAGTAATTCTCTTTATTATGCTAAGAGGCCTCAAGGAAGTTTAAGCACCTTTATCTGTAAATAAAAGCACTTTTAACCGAGCTATTTTATGTTGTGGAATTTTGAATTGATTGACAATTTGAATTATCAAGTAATTGAGTAGTATTTCTCAATAAACTTAAGTTTCATTCAGGTCAGATTTCTTACGGGTTTGTTTAAAACGGGTTCGTTTCAAACGATCTACGAGGGATGGTTTCAAATTGTTCACCTGCGCCCCTCCTAAAAGGACGTCTTCACGAACCCAGTAAGCCGGAAGGACTACTTAAAAACCTGAATACCCGACACAGGAAACTAACGGACTATCCCTCCATATTCTAAGTCCTGGCAGAAAACTGTTTTGAATAATTTCGCACTGTGTTTGTTTTTCTGAGTTGCGAAAGCTCCCATATGAATGAATGTCATTTCTTAATTTTGTTGAGTATTACTATGCATGCAAGTCTTTGACGTTAATACAATGCACTACTACATTAATTGGCCTAGCATAACTCGCCACAGAGACTGTCCGAGTTGGTTTGTTCTTGAAGCAAGTTGACGATAATTTCACTACACTACTAGCGAATGACCCCAGGAGTCCGGAGGGCTCGTTTTC